TTGCTTCCTTCGTTAAGATTAACTGGACAAATTTTATGTTTGAGCGATAAGTAATTGATGGAATGAGAAATGAGGTTCGTGTTGTTGGTTTCTTTATAGGCTCCAGACCTAGATATATGGTATGTCAATTGTTTAAATTTGTATCTTATTTTATCTCCTTTCAGTAGTCTTCTTCATTATCTACATCACTTTCTTCCGTACTTTCTCCCCTTCCTTGTGCTTCTGAGGCTGCTTTCAGTTTCTTAATGAATATAAGTGCTTTATCCATTTTTTCTCTCTCCTTACTTCCATTTCTGAAACTTCTTTCAGTTTCTTAGTGACATTCTGACTGAAAAATGATCTGCCTGAACAGTAGACTCACATGCTAAATAGGAAAATACTAAAAGATTCGAGCCAACTTAGCTTATGCATTTAGCTAGCCTGTTGTGGAATATATGAAGGTAATTCAAGCAAATACAATCTCCTGTGATAAATGGCGGGCACGTTGAACAAGTGAACATGTTTTTTCCATGCATATGAAATTCAGATTCCAAAGCCAATCTGTAAGGGTCCAACATCAATTCGATTATTACCGGCAATGAGGCAGGAAAATCCGCAATCTGATCCACTAAATAAAGGCATTTGGAGATGAGATCTAAAATTTTCCTTGAACGACTACAATTTTCAAAAAAGTGGTGACTAATCACAGCAATATAATTTATTTCAACTCAACTGAATTGACAATTTCCACATTTAGCTGGTAAAAAGCATATTGATTAGTGAAAATTCAAAACTAAGAAGACAAATGCACCACAAATAAAAGTAAAACACGGATACATGTGAGTGACACGACAAATTTGTAAAAGCTGGGCTAGGGGACATGGCTACACATACATGTATATATAATAATAATAATAATACATGAGATCAATATTACTTTTTTGTTTCACATGCTACGAAATAAAATTCCTATGGCATTTATATGCTTCTTTTGTAAAATAGATAGATCTATAAATTAGAAAAAAAAATTGCTTTTTAACTTCATATCCAAAAGACCCTTTATAATAATAGTCTAGAAGTGGATATGGGCTGAAACAAACCAAACTTAAGTCCAACAAATTTCAAGAATTGCATGTGAAGTGTAGAATATAAGTCAAGAAGTATATGACGTGTGTTTTAAATTAAAAATGTATTGTATAATTGAGTAAACATTTGTGTATGCAAATATTCAAGGAGCACCCACTCAAGTTTCGATGTTGGATATGCGTACAACACGGGTACGGCACCAAATAGAAGTACACATGTAACATAGAGTAAAACATTGAAGGATGCAACATTAGATGGAGACAAATCAACCCCATAGAGTTCTAATGATGATCATAGTAAATTTTTTATAATATAATTAATATGTTATTATCTTAAGTATTACAATATAAATACTAAATTATAATATTAAATTTTATAACATATTGCATATTATCTATATTATATTATTATACATTATATTACATATTTATAATATAATAAACATATACTAGTTATTTAATTTATGAAGGCTCTCAAATTATCCTATTTGCCTTAGGAGTGATGCAATTGATCCATGACAAAGAAGGGGGCTAAATTTTGACTTAGGGTGACAATTTCATCACAAATGAGATAATACTAGTATTCCAAAAAAAACCAATAACAATCAAAAGGAATTGTCCTAGTTCCATTGCCCCAATTAATAACATCATAAAGTAGTGATCCTAAAATTATCACCATTGCCCCCCCTCCCCAAAAAAAATTCCAATGAATAATTATGGAACACTTATTTTTGGAACCTTACTTTATGGTGTTATTCATTGGAACAATGAGATTGAGACTTCACTTTATCATGTTATTCATTAGGACAAAGGGATTGGGACAATTGCCCCACTTTTCTCAAAATTATCTCACTTCTATACAAATTTTTTGACCAATCTACAAAAATCGAGTCATTCTCGACTTCGAAACAATCATACCTCACTATGAGGAAAAGTGGGTTAATTTTGGAGAATTTATTTACTATATATTAAATATATATTAATTATATTAGAATATATAATATATCTTATTTATATTATATTATTGAATTCAACTATAATGTTAGATGATAAAATATTATTATAAGATATATTATATATTATAATATAATTAACATATATAGAATAATAGTAATTATAAATACATTAATGTTATTACCTAATATTTAATAATGACATTTAATAATATTGTATTAGATAGTATTATAATAATATTTATTGTCAAATATTATAATATAATTAAGGTATATTATATACTATAATATAATTAACATATATTTGATATATAATAAATGTATGCTCCAAAATTATCAGTGGGGTATGATTGTTCCAAAATCAAGAATGAGGCCATTTTGTAGGTTGGGTCAAAAATTTGTATAGAAGTGAGATAATTTTCGGAAATGAGATAATTTTCGGAAAAGTGGTCATTTGTCCTAATGAATAACACCATAAAGTAAAGTCTCAATCTCATTATTTTAATGAATAACACCATAAAGTAAAGTCTCAATCTCATTATTTTAATGAATAATACCATAAAGTAAGGTACCAAAAATAAATGTTCCACAATTATTCATTAGGAAATTTGGGGGATAATAGCGATAATTTTTTGGGTTGCTAATTTATGGTGTTATTAATTAGGGCAACGGAACTAGGACAATACATTTGGTCGTTAACAGTTTTCTAGAACATTAGTGCAACAATTATCTCATTTGGCGATAAAATTGTCACCCTTATGAGAAATTATAAAATGATAGAAAATAATAGTATATTAATATTATTATACTGTTATAATATAATAAAAATATATAATTTAATAAAATATTATGAGTTGAGCTAGGCTATTATAAATAATATCTAACATGCAAATACTATCAACCCAATTTTAAAACTTGGAACCCGGAACTGATACTTTGAACTGTGGATATGATCTACTACATGAACTATCTAGAAATAAAATTTCAAAGGATTTCAATATCATTAACCCATACATAATATGTCGTCAAATTCAACATTTCAGAATTTTCATAAAATTGCTTAATTCGTTGCCTCTTGATATATGATTCAAATCACGTTGAAATCCTTTGAAATTTTGTTTCTATGTAGATCATATGTTGTAGATCACATCCAACGGTTCGCATTTTCATTTTTGGGTTCTAAGTTTCAAAATTAGATTGATAGTATCCACATGTTGGAAACTATTAGTCTATTACTAGTAACCAAGCTCAACTCAAATATTATTATATACTAAAAGTTAATACATATAATTTATTAGTATAGTTAGTACATATAATTTATTCTAGTATAGTTTTGTAATCATTTATATTATATTACATTATAATATAATAATATACTATATTATATTGTAAAATTACAAATTAATATAATATACTATTATATTATATTATATTGTAACAATATAATAGAAAATGCATATAATTTTATATTATATTACAGTATATTATAATATAATAATATACTATATTATATTATAAAAATTATAAATTAATATAATATAATAATAGAATATACATATAATTTTATATTATAATATAATCGAATATATTATAATACATGCAATGTAATATATTATAATATTCTATAATACTTTATAATATATTTATTAATAATTTAAACATTTTGTTACAATGTTATGGTAATCAATATTGCATAGTATAACATAATTAATTATAATATAATGTAAACTATTAAAACATATATATCATAGGTTATATTAGTTAATAGTATTAAACATATTGTTAGTATATTATGATAATTATAATATGATATTAATATATTACCGTAAAAATATAACACGATGTAATATTATATTGTATTATATTGTAGTGTTATATATTATGTTACATTATACTATATCTATAATATATATGAAGTGCCACATGATCAATTGCCCCATTTAAACTATCTCAATCGTAACTTCAAGTTATTCCATTATCCCAATTTATCCTGCTTTGTCCCACTCAAAATGTCTCAATGGGTTAAAGTTTAATCATTCAAACAATCCTATCCACAAATTGTCCCAACCAATAACCCTCCCCCTGCCCCACCACTTAAGTTGTTAAACCAAAGCAAAATACATCCCAAATTTTCTTGGGTCCGCCATTTATAACCGAAGGATAGAAGAACACAAATCATACTTTTTTAAGTTTTAACTGATAAAACTAGGCCAGATAAAGACTTCTTAAATTTGTAGTTAAGGATGTTTGTTGTACGAACAACTATATCGTCAAGTTTATCAACATGTCTCAACAGGTTAAAGTTTTCTCATTGGAACAATTATTCTATTCCACAAATTGTTCCAACTAGAAACCCTCCCCCTGCGGCCCTGCCCCACCTCCTAAGTTGTGAAACCAAAGCAAAATCCATCCTAAATTTTCGTGGTCCGCCGTTTATAACTAAAGGATAGAAGAACACAAATCATACTTTTAACTGAAAAAACTAAGCCAGATAAAGACTTCTTAAATTTGTAGTTAAGGAGGTTTGTTGTACAAACAACAATACTGTCAACTTTCTCTCAGAATCCTGTCTAATAAGCACCCAACAGTTCAATAATAAAATCATCACTATAGCGACTAAGAAAATGTACAGCAAGACACACCACTTAGTATCATAGAATATGAAGAAATAAATTAGTATCCATAGACATAAAACATTGAGCCTAATTCTGTCTATAGAACAACACTACAAAATAGAGGTTCAACAAGTCCGAACAGTTATATGGGATGCGTGATAAAATGATTTAAACTGAAAGGCCTAAACAGACAAGAGAAATTGGCATTCCTAATATGTAATGCCCATATTAAATGAACCCATGAGGGGCAAAAAATAAATAGATCCCCAGATACGACTATGAGCCAGGGGAAAAAAGAAAAAAGTTATGTTGCTAGGACAGAAAAAGGGAAAGGGGGAGGGGGATGGATTTCTGAGTGCAGAAATTACCTCTGTGAAATCCTGATTTGAGACTGTGTCTATCGTTATAACCTCCTTCTTGTTCAGATTTAGTATTTCCAATATGAAGTCTGTGTTCTTTCTGCCTGTTTTATATTTTTCTGCGGCTTTAGATGTTCCTGCATCAAGCAAATTTGAACACTGATGAGAAAATGTATGACTGCCTACCTTTCCTACTAAGGACTTGACCCATCAATTATACTAGGACAGCTGAAAAATATCTTATGCAAAAATATTACCAACAACTTGCACAAGCCGATACATATCTTGCTTCTGCACTGCACTTGAAATCCTTATTCTTACAAAAGAACCAATTACTTTCTCAGTGAATTTATCTACATCATCAAGCAAATCCTCCATTAAGTTTCGGCGAAGGAAAATTAGGCTAATGTTATGAACATCTATAGCAGCATAATCATCAAGGTTGGTTTGTGGTTCTCTCTCCTCAACTTTTTTCCGGTTTCTTCGTCTTTTATCAGAAATCCCTTTAGTTGTTCCATCACCATACACATCAGCATCCATTTGACCAGAATCAGGAGCTGCCTCCTCATTGTCATCTGCGACGCCCTGTGAAGCATCTTTGATAAGAAAGTGTGATTCAAGAAGCTTGAGCATCTCAAAATGTCCAACTCTTGCTTTGCCGAACAAATTTTCAAGCCTCGTATCACAGATTATTTGACTTTTTCTACGAGGATCACGAAGGTTGTTTTGTTTTATATACTCAAGCAGGAGAGCCTGCACATCAAATTGAGATAGAACTGATCTATCACCTCCTTTCATGTGTGCCACTAACTCTAAAAGCTCCTTTGAAGCCCATTCAGTGTCCTCTGAAACGGATGCCGCTATGTTACCGACTTGTTGAACAGGGTGATCCTCCTCAGCTATAATTGCCCGAGAACGTCTTCTCAGTTTCTTCCTCACAGAACTGCCACCTCTGCGACGTCCTGAGGAGCTGTCTGAACTAGCCTCTCCTTCGTCGTTACAATTGTATAATTCATCAGAAGAAGAATCATCCTTGCGAGCATAAGAACCAGATCCTTTCAACGAATTTCTCGCATTTTGGAGCTCTTCTGCTGTCAGTGAAAGCCTTCTTTTCATATCAAACCAGTAATACTCCAACAAACACTCAAAACTACTTTTTTCATGAACATCCATTGCAACCTGTATGCAAACATAAACTATGAATAAGATCAAGGTCTTAAATGTTGGATGTCGGGTTCATATCGGATGGCTAAAATTCATGTCAAGGAAATAGGGGATATAACCGGGGACATGAAAAAAAATATCAGATTGCCATATCGGATGATGTGCATATGTGTAATATAAATATCATAAATAAAATCTAAACATACTTAATAAATTCTATTGTCTAAACATATAAAAAACTAAATAACTTGAGATGCTTAGAGTTGATGTTGAAGGAAAGATGTTAGAAAAGAGGACTCTAATATTGGCGGTTAAGAAGAGAGAAGATCACCCGATATTGATGTCAAAGGAATAGCTCGAAGAAGAGATCGATGAGATGTCTAAGCAGAGAGAGAAGATGATAGACGAAAATTACTTCGGTCTTTTTTTTCTTTTCCCTTAACTAATCGATTTTTGTCTTTGGAAGTAATATTAAGACAATCAAGAATTTAAACTCATACCTCATAAGATAACCATAACAAAAATTTTAAAAAAAAATTAGCCAATTTTTCAAACTTAAAAATCGGCCGACATAACTGACATGTCCCCTGACATATCCGTCCGACATATCTAACATGTCCCCCAATATATCCGACATGAAACCTGAAAACGTAATATGTCAAAAAGCTGCATATCGTGTCGGATAGCCGCTAAATCCAACATGTCGGCCGAGACATGTCGACCGATATTTAAAACACCAAATAAAATAGCAAGAAAAGAATTACCAAAAAATTAACACTACCAATTCTCGAACAATAGGCATGATAACTAAAATTTATGCATATGGAAATTGACGCATAAAAGGTCCACCAAAAGCAGTCTACATCTTAGTGCTCCTATTAATGTTTGATATTGCCATAGTGAGTTCATTGGATTGGAGGGGTCCATGAAACACAATAGGTAGCTTGTTAATCATGATGCAAACCACCACCATCGTTTCAAGATATATACCCCACAAAATGATAACAGAATAGGGGCTACCATTAACCAAACTCGGTGGCTTTTACTTTCTTGATTGTAGACTATATTGACAGCTGACCAACATTATCTGACCGATCAGTACACTAGACTTACAGAAACATAACAAATCTTTAACAACGTACATGATGTGATGTAATCATGCACAGAGAATGTAGAACTTCCCCAGCTCCAATTGGTACAGATAATAAATCAAGATGGTGGAGCACCTGCCTGGACTGGACATTTGAAATCTTCAAGCAAAATCTACCATCATTGTGTTTCACAAAGTCACGCCTGATGGGAAATGCAAGCCTGAAGTGTAATTGGTGCACGTCATCTATATGACTACATTGATACCACGGTTCATCCAAGAACTCAATGTAGAGTTCAGCAATGTAAAGGCACGTGAATCATATGGGGGGAAGGCATAAAGCACAAACAGAAGCATGTCACCCATACAAATGCTTGAAGTAACAAAACACAATTCAAACAGAATGATATTCAATATAGCAAAACCATACCCTGGACACTAGAGTTTTTCTTCCCCATCTACATTTCCATAACAAATATAAGGCAATGAAACACATATATGGATTATTTATAAGGAAAGAAAAAACCCTCTTCTTGTTGCCAATATATGTCCAGTCCTCGCACTCCAGAAAATTAATCAAATTAGCTATGTACACTTGTCTGACATTTTACTGCAACTAGTAATAGCAAATATATTCATATCGAAAGAGTCCTTAGTTTGAAACAGAATGAGGTAGATCAAACATCAAGAGATGTAATCATGGATTTCCAGTTGCAAAATGCTAGTAAAAGAAAAGACGACTTGAACTGTACTCTTAGCTAGAATTTATGCCCTACTCGCTAAAACCCCAAAATCCTGAATTCATACATAGGTAAGGGAAATGCCAACTTCAAAGCAGGAGTATGGATCTTTTAAAATTGACAAACAAGAGGTGCAATTTCTAGTAGTGTTCAAGTAGAAGCTCACCTACTAATGCCAATAATTTGAAGAAAACCAATCTTTCTCGTTTTCCTGGGCGCAAGCACCAAAATAAATCCGCCATATCACTGTCAGACATTTATGACTAGATATCCATATATATCTCTTTAAGACAGTTATTGCTGTCAACATCTCAAGTACTAGCTTTTGCGGACCAACTAAAACTACGCAGGTGACAAGTCACAATGAAACAAACTATCTAAATTTCTACATAATTTTGATCAAAAAGTCATAATAAACGAACCATAGGAAGCAATGACATTGTCAAGTACATGTGAAAAAAAAAGCCAAAAGATTAAAAAAAAGATAAAAAAGAGAGCGTGGAGGGTGGAAGAAAAATGTAAAGAGATGGCTAAATATATGCTATAACAAAATCATACTGAAGTTTTGTATATAAAACAAATAAGTTTATCCTAAATGATGACTTAGCTAGGCTCCTACCCATTTTAAGACTAGCAACTTACGGGAACAACTATTTATAAATTTTAGTATATAAAAATGATGTAAGAAAAAGCGTGGGGAAATGGTATATCCTATAAGCTCCAAACGTAACAGCTAACAAGTGAAAAAAAAGGAAAATGTGAACAACGCCACAATAACTCCCACTTTATATTAAAAGGCGTGTTTGTCGTCATTTTTTTACTCGCTTATTTATGTAAAATCCTTGAGATAAATCATGGTACATACGTCGAATCATTATAAACTTTGAAAGAAAAAAGCAGAAACAAGATTCAGAACAAGTCGCACCTTTCCCTCATTGCTGGGACCTTTTAATTCTAAACTCATCACAGTGTCGTAGCAAGGTTCACAAAAACCCTTCTTCCCTCTAACACATACAAATCCTTTTTTCTTAATGCATCCTTTGCACAAAGAATATGTACAAGTGTAGCACATATACTGGGCGGCCTTATTGCACTCGCTACAAATATGCCAACCTGAAAATCACAACATACATAAATACAGCAATCAAATAATAACTACAGGAAACAAAAGCATACATCACTTTAATCATCTAAGCCTTTTACAATAAAGATTTATTGAAAGAGGTTTGCTACGCTATGGAGCACAACTCAAGTTAAAAAGATGTCCTCAGGTTATTTGGAGAATAGAGCAGGAGTGATCTGGTTTTAGCTGGATGCAAAATAAATGAGCCAAATCCCAAGGGCAAGGCACCTAGAGAAATAACGATCCTGCTTAACCCTTGAAGGCTAGTTGGTGAGGGAAACAGTAGTAAATATTAAACATGGAACAAAGATGTTGTAGGAACATAGTCAAGAGTTAGTAGCAAGGTCATGATCTAATGGACATGAAACTGAAGGGTCTGTTGGGTTTGTTGCAACTGGGATGGATTGCAAGCCAGATTAATTCCTTTTGTTCTGGGTAGCTTCAAAACACCAACCCCAAAGCAACAGTTTTGCACTAAAATTCTCTTTCCATGTGATGCAGTCGACCCTAAAGGGGGAGAAATACAACTGCAAGTGAGCAACCCATTTCCTCATTACATGGTTATATTTGCAATTTGGTTGGCCATGATAGCTAACCAATTGTGAAAATTCTAGCATGCGGATACTATCAACCCGAATTTGAAAATTGAAGCCCAAAACTAAAAATCCGAACTGGTCGATGTGATCTACTATAAATGAACTATTTAGAAACAAAATTTCTAAGAATTTCAACATCATCAATCCATGGATAAAGTATCATCAAAATCAACATTTCAGAATTTTCATAAAGTTATTTAATCTTTTGCCCCTTGATATATGGTTCAGAACACGTCGAAATCTTTTGAAATTTTGTTTCTAGGTATGTGACACACATGCACACATATACTGATATACATATATATGCATGTATGTATAGCATGCATACATACATATGAGGAATATGGATATCCTTGGTACCAAGATCATTTTTGGTACTTGGTAGCGAGGTGACTCATTTTCATCTATACATTCAAAGAGGGACTACTTGCACATGGGTTAGAGGGGACCATTTTTCAAGTGGGGACCATTAAGATGAGCAGTTAAGGTTTGGCCACCTCACTACCAAGCACAATTTTTTTTCGTAAGCGTGCTTGGGAGTCCTTGAAAATTGAATAAACCAAGATTTTACCATGACTGCAAGTTTAACGAGACGCGAAAGTACAAGCCTGTGGGGTCGCTTCTGTAACTTGATAAAACCGTATTTACATTGAATGATTCGGTGTTTTAATGATCCCTACCTATTGACCGTAGCTTCTTTATTTATTATCACCTTCATTGCTGCTTCCCCAGTAGATATTGATGGAATTCATGAACATGTTTCTGTGTCTTTACTTTATGAAACAAATATTATTTCTCGTGTCGTTATTCCTACTTCTGCAGCTATATGTTTGCATTTTTACCCAATATGGGAAGCATCATCCATTGATGAATGGTTATACAATGGTGGCCCTTATGAGCTAATTGTTCTACACTTCTTACTTAGTGTAGCTTGTTACATGGGTCGTGAGTGGGAACTTAGTTTTCCTGTGGTTATGCATCCTTAGATTGTTGTTGCATATTTAGCTCCTATTGCAGGTATTATTGTTGTTTTCTTTTCCATTATCACCCAAAAAAACCAAACTCTGCCTTACGTAAAGTTGTCATAATACAATTAACCTCTAGTTTTGAAATCACTGCTTATATACCTGCTATTGGACACAATTCACAAGAATATTCTGAAGTATTAGTAAGAGGAAGCGTTAAGGATTTACACAGTGTGAGATATCACATTGTTCGAGGAACTCTATATGTTGTCGGAGTAAAGGATCGTCAACAAGGGCGTTCTAGTGCGTTGTGTACAAATATATATACATACAAAGAATGTGTATGTTAAAGCTTTTGAATTCCCAAGATATCTTTCAAAGTTTCTCCAAACCAGCATATTAATAGGTGGGAGTTAGAAACTCAAGAGTTTAATATTATATGTGTGTATCAATTCACATGAAGTATTGAGTCAACTGAAATTGTATCGGTTCTTTGTTTTGCACGTTATGGCCACTCTTGAATCATATGACATTGCCTTCAAATTGGGAAAGAAAGTGTTGTGCCAAAGGAAACTATGAATTTTTCAATTTTGCTCACAATGAGTAGAATTTGTTTGCATTTTTTCAAGCTTTGTTATGATATAAATACTGCTGCAATGATACTAAAGTTTATTTCTCAATGATGAGGATAAGAGACGTGCAACTATGGTAGAAGCAAAAAAAATTAAATTGAAAATATAAAGGGCCATAAGCATATTCTCCCATCAATTTCTTTTGGTTAGAAATCAGGGAATTTGACCATGCCTGAGAGGTTTGGATTAGGAGAGAAGAAATGAGCATATGTTTTCTAGGTTGAAAATGTGTGCTTGGATAAAGGTATTTTAGTCTTTGCTCTCTCTCTGCTTCGTGGATATGTTTTCAGAGATAGATTATGTGTGGACAATGTTTAGAAAGATGGATATTATTAGTAGGACAGACTCGCAAAGGTAGAAAATAGGAAAGAAAAATAGTCTACACCTTTGACTTACTCTTACATTAAATATATAAGTAAAAAAGTCTTATACTATTTTGGTTAAAATTTTAAATTGTATAAGTTATTTTAAATTTTACAAAGTATTTTGCTCTAGAAGGCTTAAGGTGCATGCATCAAGATTTAGTGGATCATACAAGGAAGAAAAGAACGGAACTTTAAAAAAATTGTTGTTTTATTATACTAAATCCTCGAGTTTGCTTGCAAATGTAAACAACTCTATTGATTTATTTATTTTATTTTCTGGGTTTGTTTTTTATTTTCATGTGATTTGCTCTTTTTCTGTTCGTGTTTTACAATGACGGGAAAATGAATCTCTCTTTTATTTATTGTTTTAATTTGTTTTGATGGTATTGACAGGGTTAGAGGTTATTTAAAATGGGTAATCAATTTTTTTTATTTTAGATTTGATCAATGGGTATATTACTTGTTGAATTCTTCAAAATGGACTTTGACTTTTAGTACATATGATACATAGGCAAGAGGACATCTATCCCCCCCCCCCCAAGGCCTTCCACACACACATGCACACACACACATAAATGCACATGATTTTGCGATAATGTACTTTCTTCATGTTAACTGGATTGTGAACATAATTATATATTCAGAAATATTACTACAACCTTTTCTTTTCAATGTATTGACCTGAAGCTTTAAGGATTTTACCAACAATAATCTTCTTGACATAAGGCGCTGACTTATATAGATAGTACAAGCTTCATGACAATATCCCAACTTTTTTAGTTAATCACTAATATTATTCAATCTTCATTTTCTGATAATATAAATAGTACAAGCTTCATGACAATATCCTAACTTTTTTTAGTTAATCACTACTATTACTCAATCTTCATTTCCTGATTACCAACTTAGAGAAACAAATTTCATACATTTGCATGTTTAAACCCAACAAACTATATTATTATTCAATCTGCATTTCCTGATTACCAAGTTAGAGAAACAAATTTCATACATTTGCACGTTTAAGCCCAACAAAAATAGCCGAGTTTTTACACCTATCCACAAAATTTTTATTTTCTTAATATTAGTATAGACAAAGTACAGTGCACTTGATATTCAGAAAGCAAAGAACAATAAACATTTTGCAATTATTTATATGCATGTGTTGTCTTCTCTAGCTTGAAGCAGGTGTTTCGATTTCACTTCTATCATGCTCACAAGTAGGTAAGAAAAACTTAGATCGATTCGAATAATTCTAAGAAATCTGTAAGTGAAAATTTCAGAAAACCTCTCTTAAGTTTGGACATTCCTCAGATAGCTTCCTTTAACTTTCAAAATGTCACAAAACCCCCTTAAGTTTTGGGGTTAGTAGAAAAGTCACTTCAACTTATAACATTTTTCAAAAAAATAAAATAAATCAAAATAACAGCTTTAACCACAATTTTCACATGGATATGTAAAATTTGTAGGGGATATTTTTTTATAGTGAAAATTGTGCTTCATACTTTTATGGAGGTCTTTTGAAAAATGTTGAACGTTGAAGGGGTTTTCTGAGAACCCCAAAACTTAAGGGGGTTTTTGTAACAGTTAGAGGTTAAGGATATTATCAATGAAATGCCCAAACTTAAGGGTTTTGTGAAATTTATGCAATCTAATACAACAAACATAGACTAGGGAGACATAATAGCTTCTACTCATTATGGATCAAAGAAGCAATCTAGGTAATTTAGCAAAGCTGAGTTTTAACAAACTCTAGTTACTCTAGGAATCATTATCAGGGGGTATTGGCACCCAGTCTTTCCACTAAAGAATGCTCGATGCTTGCTCATGCATATTGAAAAAGCCATGTTCCCTTTCTTCCATACGTACACAAACAATTCCAACATCTATTTTCCCAAAAAGTTAGCCTCTCCATTTTTTCACATTTGAAAAGAATACAGTTAGGATGATAAATTTCAGGAAATGTAAATAACTAAAGTAGTTCCAAACCCAAGTACGCCTTAAACTTTGGCTTAGCCAGAAGGCGTCAGCTTTAACATATTAAGCCCAATCCTAAACTTGCAGGCTCAAGATTAGCCCTATTATTTGTTACGATGGCAATGTTAATGGATTAGCGTAAGGCTTTCAAGGTCCCTTTCATGATGTTAAGGTCTAATGGACAAAGTAAAAATACATAAGATATAAACTGAACACAAGACTAATCCATTCTCCAGTATTGACTCTTCCACTTTATTCCAAAGGATATGAAGCTTGAGATAAATAGATGGGGCCTGGAATGGTCCTCCAAATGAAAAAGTTATGTACCAAGGCTATGTACGGCCTAAGGTAGGCTCCCACACTTAACGGTAAGTTTCAATACACTAGCAAAGTTAGTTTCAATACACTAGTAACCAATGTTTTAAAAGCAATGTGCCTTAGTGCCTCGCACTCAGGTG